CAGCGGGTGAACTAATGCTACGTGTGCTTCGAGCGTTACACGGAGAAGAATTCTACTCCTTCATCCAAACGAAACCACACAAAGCTGTAGTTTTAGTTTCCATTTTTGCTGCTACTGTTAAAAGCAGAATGTTGTATTCTTTCCCATTTTGCAACGGCCTGAGGAGGATGTTGTTGAGGGAGGGGGAAAACTGGTGGGTGGTCTTGTGTTGAAAAGTTCCATTGCTCTTCTAAACAGGGCCAAAGAACCCTCTCAATAGGTCAAATTAATGATTAAATGGAGAGAAATCAGGTAATTTAAATTGTTTAAGCAAAATTTGCATGGCTTGTAAGGTGTTTCTATCATTTATGTGATGATCTATGTAGAGATCAAGCCACAGTCATGTCCCGTATCCAAGACATGATCCGTGTTTTTACACTTAATTAATTTTACTGTTTATCTTCACTGTTACTGCAGTGGTCTGAAAGGGGGAGTGCCCAATAGGCTTTCTTATAAGCAACTGTACTTGTTTAAAATAAATGCTTTTGAAACACAACGGTGCATAAAGTTTGTTTTTAACCTCTAGAGTTTAAGGATGAGTCAGTCTCCTCTCAGAATCAGTTGCTGACAGTTTTGTGATTAAGCAGGAGTGAGGAACATCCCCTCCATGCTCCCTTTTAAAGTATTTTACACCTTCACTTTGACAATCACTGCCTCCAGCCTTCCTTCTTTGCTCTGCCCAGAGCTACTGGAATTCCTTTTATTTTTATGTTAAGCTTACATTTGCACGTACCATATTCATACACCTGCCCCTCAGGTGTATGAATCCGGGACTGTTGCCCCATGTTTCCCAAGGCAGGTGAGAGGAGGGAGAAACAAGACAAGAGGCGGGAGTGCCTACCATAGACGTCTGGAGCCAGGACACTGATGCAGGAGCTGATAGCTGATACAAGGACCCTGCACTCATGATATTACAATGTTCCCCTTTTGTCATTTTCATTTTCTCTCCGCCTCCTTCTCATCACTTCTTTTTAGAGATTTTTTTTCTCCTCCCCCAGACAAGATGTTTATAGTGTGACCCAGGCCGCTCATGATAGGAATCATTCCATCAGCGTAATGGCTAAATGACACGCATGCGTCTCTGATGCTCCAGGGCATCTAAAATGTGGTAACTCCTGAGTAAAACTATAGATAATGTTTCTCCCTAAAGTTTAAAATTGTATTTCTTTTTTGAAATTTGTCAAACTGGTGTTCATCCGTTTGCATTTTTCCCCTGATTCTCTCTCCTTGAATGCACTGGCTACAGAACAATTCCCCAGCAGTCTGGGTGGTCTTTGCTCACACACAAACATATGTACAGGCACAAACTTGGTTTTCCTCTTGCTGGTAATGCACTTGCATGTGGATGCAGAAGCCGAAAAAACACTGCACAAGAACACTTGCTGCACTTACAACTATTACAAAGCATCACCAACTTCTCAGCTGGTCTCCCTCATATGTCAGACTCACAGCGACAATATCAAAAGGGAGTTTATCACATATCATAAACTCGTATTTGTATATTCTTCTCTGGATATGGTGCAAATAAATATATTACATAATAATAATATAAAAAAAATTCTTTACTTTTACGTTTAAGTTATAATACCTAGTAAGTAATCTTTATTCATATACCGCCTTTCACAGACCAGAGTCACAAAGCGGTTTACAATTGTTATTTTTTTGGGCACTTGTCTCTCAGTCCACACAGAGATGGGAGCGGGGTCGCCGAACAGGAGGCGCATGCCAGACCTATTGTACATGTTTTTAGGGGTAGGGGAAACCGGAGTACCCGGAGGAAACCTACGCAGACACGGGGAGAACATGCAAACTCCACTCAGAAAGGCCCTGGTCTGACCGGGATTCAAACCCAGGACCTTTTTGCTGAGAGGCGAGAGTGCTATCCACTTAGCCACCGTGCCAACTAGCTTATGGCGAATGCCCTGCTCAAAGTCCTCTACCATTTTCAACAAGAGAAAAATGCCAATCAACAGATTTATCCAAGACTCACCAGGAACCAGGACTGCCTTCCTTCTATGTGATGTAGCTTCCATCTAAACATAAAAATCATAAATTCCACAATCGGCTGTACTTGTGCTGAACGGGTGCAAACATTTGTGCATGGAGCCACATGCGCACGCTCCCCTGGGCACTGTCTTTACTCTCTAATCTGATATCAAAGAGAGGGCCTTTCAAAGCGTCTCACATGACAGCTCATTTCATGTGTTGCCCACGGAAACAATTATTGTCATAAATCTCAGTGCACTTCTGCTGCGTTGCTCGGAGCACCTACACCTTGCTTAAATTCCAACAGACTCACCCACAAGTGCACTCAATTTGAAAGTTTATCGACAATACTTGATTGATTGATTTTCAGTTGTATGAACTGGAAATATTAGATAACCCTTGTTCTACAGCGAGGGTTAATAATTTAAATGTACTATGAATTGCTCACACTCATACAGTGCATTGTGTTTATAATGCATTACATCACATGGATTTCAAAAGCTTAGTTGGTCTTTGGAACAAGTTAAGTGACACTTTCCTCTGATGTGCAAAAGTTCTCATACGGTTCTGGTTCTTACCCCAAACAAAAGTGAATGTGTCTTGCATTTCCCTGATTGCCCTTTCGGCACTACAGCGATATACTGTAGTTCACTTTGAAGGGCTCTCATATAGCAGGGCTCAATGATGTCACATACTTTCAGGATGTGGACGTTTCTTAAGGTCCTGCGATCTCCCCAGGGTCAGCTCTGAGGCTGATCCATGCTCAGCAGCCTCGTGGGGCAGAATGGACCATTCCACACATCCGAGTGGGACAGACCTGCTCTCTGTGACATTTACACAAACCAAAGCATACACTGGATCTGATGATGTATAAGTTGGTGTTTGTGCTTTTAATTGGAGGATGATTTTCATCAGCATTTCAAAGAGGGAAAAACGATATTAGTTTTTGTTGCGGCATCTTTCACATTTTTCCTCTCCTCAGAGCATTCGCTGTTCGTGTGGGCGTATGGTGGGTCGTCCAGTTTATTTATCTTATTCTAAATCAGACCTCAAACTCTCTAATTGGTCCAGTTCCACTGTTAGGTAAAGAGGGGAAATGAACAATTACTTCTGTGTTTGTGACTGGGGCTGAGCAGTTTGGAGTGATTTAGATTTCCACAGAGGGACACCCAGATCGTCAGTGCTTTCCGTTTAAAAATGAAATGTTTGCCCTCAATACACTTATTTTTTCCCCTCTCTGCTTGTGAATGGAAACGATTTTACTATTTTATGTGGAAAAACACCTAGACCCAAGCAAAACATGGTATAAGAATGCTTAAATTTTTATTTTCCAAGCCAAGGATATTGTTAACTTATACTAACACCAACACTAAAATTAATATTTTCAAATATTTTTTTTAACAGGTTTTGAAGCAGAACTTGAGAGCAAGAGACTGCGTTACCATCAAAAGCAGAATATGGCCTAATACCTGTATGGATTGTGGATAAAAACATTATAGCAGCACCATCAAGTGATATTTTGGAAAGAAGACGTTGTTTTCCTGGATCTGACTTTCATCACTTTCATATCACTCATATCTTAAAGTCTCCTCATCGGTCCCCTGTGCCTCATGCAGTCAAGCTTTGGAAAGACTGGCTGTGTTCCACAAAGGTCCAAGTCAAAACCCCACATATGTCTTTAATGGGATAGTCCCTAAACACGTTTTGAGTATAGAGTCCTCCCTCATCTTTCAGTCTCACACTCTACTTTTGTTTGTTGTCAATAGTTACTTTATAGTAATTAAATATTTTTTGAAGTCTCTTTAAAATATTCTATTAGAGCTCGCAAGCTCATACATCTCAGAGAAATACCAGTAGTGGTACATAAATCCATGAGTAACCGACAATATAAATGCTCTTTGTGCCAGCTCCATGCCTAAATAAAGATGATGGATGATTGTCTAACTTATGTACTTAACTGTTCTGTGGTCAAACAGTTCCATAAATTTGTTATTTTCTGTTTTGTATAAGTTGTATAAGTTTTCATTTCTTAGTGATCTTACATTAAATCCTAAAGCATATACAGGATGGGTTTTACTAAAGGATTCCTGCTGCACAAGCTTTATTTAATTCATGTTTGTCATGCACTAATGTAACAAGCTCTACTTGAAATGTAATTTCCCAATGCATGTGTCACCTCATATTAGGACATAGTACCATTCAGAAAACTGTTCATTAGACTCCCTCTACTCCACCAGCTGGGCTCTTCTGACCTCCACTCCACAGCCTTCCCAACACACACACACATAGGATAGTAAACACAAGTGCAAATACACAGCGCCTAATGCTCTGCTCTCCAGTTGGTGTCAGAAACCTGACACTCGGAGACATGGTCAGTCACTTCACTCTAATCGTCAACACACACATGCACTTTTCCCATTTGGCCCTGTCTGTTTTTATCTACACATGCGCTGCTGCTGCTGTTGCTGCTGGCTACTCTACTTATTCATTCTAACTCCATTTGAAAAACAGATTCAACCTTACCAGCAAGAATTGTCCATTTTATGATCTTGCATCAATGGCAAATGGCTAGTCAAGATGTGCGGTTAAAATGTCATAGGTAACTCTCCAAAAAGAATTATCCAGACAACTCAAGCTATGCTGTTTTTCAAATCACATCAGGAACATATCTTATTGCAACTGTAAATGACAAAAAAATCCTGAATTCAGTTGGACATTTCACTGTGCAGGATGCATCCATGCTTGGATGAAACCTACTTCAAATAAAATGTTTGATTTTGTTCCACAACCTCTCTGACAGATCATCAGATGGTCACTTTTACTGGAACTTTTAATCGATATCTGAACCGCTGCACAATCCCCAAAGGGCATTTTCAACGACTCTTATCTTTTAAAGGAATAAAACAATGTGAAACAAATGGAAGTAAAGTAGAAGTAAATATATAGAATAAAGCAGCAGTACATGCATCACTTACAGGTATGTGATTAACGGACTGAGATTTGCTGGCACCGCAGATAGTCCCAGCTCAGAGCAGTCCACCATGATGAAGATCCCATCCTCTTCACACTGACACGGAGAGGGGCACTCCGCTGCCACAGAGCTCTGCCTGTCCTGAATGAGCTCGATTGCCCAAGCTCCAGGGCTGGATCCACAAACTTGTCTGGCCGCACAAAGGAGCAAGAGCACAGGCAGCATGTCTTTCCAAATACCTGGATGGTTACACCTTACACCTGGTTTCTCCCACTGCTGAAAACCGTTGTCTTACTTTGTTAATATCAACAAAAAGAAGATATTCTGTTTAACCATAGCATCACACTCTTTGTAGCCTTATTCTGATCCTACATTGAAGGTCATGGTGAAATCTCCAACTTTTCCCTTTTCAGACTAAAACATAGTGAACATGTGCCTCTGTCCGTATCAGTATTCCCCTCTGCTTCTCTCTCTCCTTACCTATTGAAGGAGTGCATGGGTTGTGAACGAGCAGCCCTCATTGGTTCACAGTTTGGGGAAGGAGCATCTCTGTGGAGTGGGAGGGGCTCGTGAGCTGCTAACTTTTTACCCCTTCACTCAGTTGGGTTGTCTTCTCAGTTCAGAGAGCTTGAAGAGGTGAGTGCAGAAGTAAGCTGGGGGAATCATATGGACCTTTAAAGTGGACAACATTTGAAATTTGGTAGAACATCCTACATCAAATTACTTTCTCCTGCAATTATAGAAAAGTGTTCATGTTGTTTGGGACTTGTAAAAAAACGTATGCACATGCATATAGTGGGGCTTCCAGCAAGTTTTGCAAGCTCAGTGTGAATTTATAGGAGGCACTGATTGTTCAAGTAAATCTCTTGGAATGAGTCTGTAGGAAAAACGACTTTGGCACCTCAACACCCCCAGGGTCTAAAGGAGCAAATGCAATGTCTTGAAAGTGGCACCTTCTCATGTTTCTGAAGCTGGAATGTTGTGATCACATACAAGAACTCACATGATCTCCCATGACGCCATTCACGACTTCAGTCGTATTACCTACGTGTGTAAAACATATTGTACATATTCAGTCATGGTGCTTTGTTTGATATATTTTTTCATGCCTGATATCAAATAATCAGTAAGTGCTTCAAGTCTTTGTCAAGTTACATGGAGCAGCATACAGAGAGGGAAGACCTAAAAGTAATTTGACTACACATTCTTGGATCAGGATAAAAGTTCTTTTTTTTTTTACTAAATCCCAAACTCCAGCCGGATGCATAGGACGGTGCGTTATACAACTAAGCTTTACATGCTGTGCACCTGTAAGTACAGGAAGTTACATCATGTCCGATGGATGCAATGTGCAATTTGGCTGAGTATAAAAAAGATGGCATGACTTCAAACACTTAACTTTGAAGGCACACACACTTAATGTGCAAATGGCACGATCACTGAGAGGGAAGATGCTCAGCACTGTTTTTTATTTCAGATTCAAATCCAGTAACAACCTATCTTGAATAATTTATTGATCTCCATACAACACAAATTAAATACATTTTTGAACTTAAATGAAATGTGCAGATAAATGAATGTATTGGGGTTTGAAGTAGTCTAAACATTTCTGGTTCCATTCCTTGCCTGTGCCTATCCCTGATCTTTCTCTCGTCCATTCTCTGCAGGCTGAATAGTTTCTCATTAATTAATTAACATTCCTGTGCCACTGTGTTTTCAGAGGGCCCTTTGTTATGGCCCCACAAAACCTCTTTGAGAGCTTCTCTCATAGTCTCTCCCCTCATTCCCTCTCGCTTTCTGTGCAAGAATATCTGTTGTTCTTTTGTCTGTTGCATAAATCAGTGAATTTCAACAGCGGAGCAGCCGGTGCAGTATGTGCAGTACATCAATGCAACTTTGATTTCACATAAACATTTATAAGTTCAGTGAAACTTTTATTTTACAATTGATGGACAAACTCACAATAATTTTACATAGTTTAATATCAATTTAGCATCAATTAGTTTGTTTGTTTGTATTTAAAATATTGTGGGTCATTTACTGTGTCTACTTCTTGGTATATTAGCACATTGACATTTTAAGATAATAAGTACGTAATATACAGAGTTTGTACCATTTCTGACTAAACTCAATCAGGTGTAATCAGGGTTTCCAGGCAGTACTCTGGCCCCCAAACACTACAGTTGTGTTTACTTTATATCACATCTATGTACATATAATATTTTTTGCAGAACTGGGATGTTTGATATTATATTTTGTTTGTTGTTATGCTACCCACATACCCAAATGTTGGCTTTGGCTTTAAATATTAGTAGTTGCATTTGAAGAATTTCAGCCAAAACCCTTTGATGGTAATGTTTTGTGTCCTCTGTGTTTGAAATGTGAAATGGACTGAACTTAAATACTACTACCATGTTTCAAAACACCATGTTCCCGTCGGCACGCATGATCCACCTGCAGACCGCTCCGGCTCTGGTTTTGCAAAGCACCCTATCATCTTTATAAAGGCTCTTTAATTGTGTGGCCCTGGGGGAACCCTAAAACACGGTAAAACCTGCACCGTTCATCTCATGTCAGTCTGTGTCTGTCTCTGTGCCTTTTACAGTCTGCTTTGAACATTTCAGTGCTTCATAATGGCTTAATTGACCAATCAGTTTGTCTTTAAGTGTTAAGTCTCGTCATATTTGCATTGATTCATTGCCTGGAAGATAATAACGGCTTATTAACCGAGCGCGAGGTCTGTATGGAGAAATATCAGACCGTGGCGAGGTCTGTGCAAAAAGGCCAAGGTCTGATTCTCTGTACAGACCGAGCAAGCGAAATTAATAAATGTTTTATTATATGACTCTCGTCTGTGTCTTTACCAATGCTTTTGAGATATTTGTGAAGTATGTTCATGTCCGACTTGGTTTTGTGTGATACGCGCTGCGGACAGATTGTCATGGTAATCAGCCAATCAGAGTGCGCGTACGGTCCAAGTCATATAATAATCCAGTTTATTAACCTTCTAAATTGAACGTGTGGTGGTAGAGGTTGTGCCTCACAGCAAGAAGGTCCTGGTTTTGGTTCTACCTCCAGGCCTTTCTGTGTGGAGTTTGCATGTTCTCCCTGTGTCTGCTCCGGTTTCCCTGTGCAGGTGCTCCAGTTTCCCCGACCACTAAAAACATATAGTCCCTTAAAACACCCTGCTAAACCCCACTCCTGTCTCTGGGCCAGGAATACCCTGAAAAATGGATTCTGCAATCTCAATGGCACTTTCCTGGTTAAATCATTTATTTTAACCCTGGGATATTTCATTAGTTTGAAAAGATGTTTTACTTGTTACAAGAAGCTTTCATTTGATATTTTATTATTCTATTTAAAAAACCTCACTTCATTGACCTTGGTGGCATTTCATTTTTTATTTTTAGAAGGTATTATTTTGCAGCTAACCAGTTCCTGAATTTTAAACAAAACTTAAAGCCAGGGACCTTAGAAATAATCATGAAAACAAATTAAGTTAACTAATCATTTGAAGTGTCTTTGCTAATGTTGTGATAAAAAAAAACTAGCACTGTTTATGCGTGTCATTTTAAACACTACCTCTAACATAGGACTTTCCCACGGTCGTATGCAGAACTTTTACTGTAAGGCATTTATATTAGTATGAAATATGCAAATGGTTTATTTATTGTCTGACCCTACAACATTCTCCTATCACTTGTGTTGAGGGCGTCTCTCTATTCCCTCCTTCTTCTTCATTAGACCTACTTCTGCTTTTTCATCAGTTTAAATTGAATGGATTGAGTTGAGCATGTCCTATACATTTTCTTTTTTATCCTTTTCAACATGAGATAGATACTGATTTCTACATTTAGGCTTATTCATCATTTTTGTTTCCTCTCAGTCTGTAATTACAGCGTGAATCCCTATCATGGAATAGGTTTTAAATATTTTGTTTTTTAGATGCCTGCAAACACCGTCTGAGCAAGTCTAAAGTAAACCAAGTCCTAGTTTATTATTCACCAAAACTATACATCTGTTTATCCTTTTTTTAGATCATTTCTGCGCCGCTCTGTTGAATTCTCGTTTTCAATCCTGCAAAGGCTGCATGGTTGTTTTTCTGTGCACACCAGGTTTAGCACAGTCTCCAGATCAAAGCAGTGCCCCCTCACCTCAGCTCCCCCTGTGTGCAGTGCTGCTCTATGGGCTGTGAACACTATCCAAGCAACTGCAGCCTCCAAGACACAAAGACAAGAGGCCACCTGACACCTGAAGCCAACTCGAGGCTCCACCTGAGCCCTCTACGACCACCGCAGCCCAGAGGGAGTGGAGGTTAGTTGTTTAAAAATAAAAAAATAACAAAAATCTCTATTACCAAATGTTCACTGAGTTGATATTTCCCCCACAAATAGACCCTTATGTAGGTGTATAGGCAGGGCCACCTCAAGGTACTTCTGGCCCCTCTCCCCACCTCAGTACCACAAAAACCCTATTCCTGCTATTCCTAATTTTTATCAAAACAATTTTTTTCACTGTGTATATCAAAATCTCAATATTTAATGCAAACAACAACAACTACTCAACAAAGGCAACTGTGAAAAAATACTATACTTTTTCAGTAAACTTTCAGAGGCACTTGACTATGGTAGGCCCGGGGGTTTCATCCCCTACTGGCCTTTTGCATACGGTGGCTGTGTGTACAGGTTTAGTCACAAAGCCACCTTGTACATCACATTATCAGTTTAAATGTCTAGTTCAAAACACTTTCATCTTAAAGCTGTACACAACTTACATGTCATCAAAGAAATATAACTAGCTCCTCATTCTCTTGGTTTCGTCACTAGTTTCCACATACATGTATTTTTGTCCTCTGTCATTAGATCAGCTTATACAGACAGCAAAGTGAAAAAGAGGACACACTCACTCTGTCAATCAGCTCTCTGCCAAAGTGTCAGATAGTCACTCACCCCATAAGGAAAAGATGTACAAATATTTTGTCAAATTTTTATAGGACTTGCTTGAAATGTATAAATTACACATATGACAGTCAAACAACATACAAATTCCATAGAAAGATTGTATCCTCCAAAGTATTCATGTTTAAACATTTGTATAAAAAGAATGTAAGAGGTGTTTGAATATCATAGATGAGGCTTTGACAGTCAAATCCAACACAGAGTTTATAGTAACATTTTACACGTTGAATTGTATGTGGAAAACCATGTAGAAAAAATGTAGAAGAATTGTGTAAGGTTTGTTTGCATTCTATAACTAACCCTAGAGTTACGGTTTCACTTTAGGCTTCTATTCTGTATAACAATGAAAACTAAAGTATGTGATGATAAAATGTATTGAATACTCTGTGCTGTTCTCAATTCTACAAATTACATTAACGTCCTGATATGAAAGAAACATACTTGTAGTACTGCAGATACTACAAAAGTTAGATGTGCCAAAAGACATGTGAAGACTCATCATTATGAAGATCATACAAGTGAAACTGTATGTGTAAGAC